GCTTGAAACAATGCACCAGTTTCGATTGTTGGGTATACAGTGTAAATAATATGCTTATGTTAACACAGACATTTCTGTAACACATTGTGCATTGTTGATGATTAACTCTTCTGTTTTCTCTTATCAGCTATGCCTCATTAAAGGAGGCAATTAAATCTTTCACGGTAGCTACCATTTATTTTTCACATGTAATGCTTTTTGTCTTCACTCAGTATCTTACAAGCACTTTTCTTAGATGTATGTTTTTAAATTAACCATATTAATAACTTTGGTGTACTAGTTTTGCCCTTATATTTTGTTCTTCCAGCTTTATTGATATTTGTTATACAATATATTTGACATGTTTACATTCTGAAATGATCAAGATAACTAGTAAGTCAATTCTCTAATACAGCTGCTTTATTGTAAACATATGAAAAATCACTTACAATCTACTTCTACAGCATATTTCAAGTATACAGTATATTAATTTGTAGGCCACACTATCCATTAAATCTCAATAATTCATTCAACTTGCATTATTTGCACTTACACTAACATCTCACTTCCACCACCCTTTAGGTGCTATTATTACTCTATTCTCTTCTATGAGGTCCACTCTTTTATACTCTACATATAAGTGGTATCGCGTCCTATCATCTTTCTGTGCCTGGATTATACCATGAAGCATGATGTCCTCCAGGTTTGTCCATGGTTTTGCGAAAGGCAAGATTTCTTAGTCTCATAAGGACAGATATTCCACTGCATGTGTGCTTCTGCATTTATACTCTACAATCTTTTTATCCATTTGTCCATTAGCAGACACTTGATTCCATCACTGGCTACTGTGAATAATGCTGCAATGATATGGGACTGCAAACATCTCTGACATGTGATCTCACTTTCACTGGTTATTTACCCAGTTGTGAGACTGCATAATCAGATGGTGCTTCTTCCTTCTTCTTTTTTCTTTTCATTGTTAGAAGGAAAAAGACTTCCACAATTACTTCAAAAAGTGGAAAGCAAATGGGACGTGTGAGGGGGAGTATTTTTAAGAAGGATTAACAGCAATATGTAATTCACTGAATAAATTTTCATCATTTACCATACTTTCCAATCAAACCACGTACATTAAGTTGTTCAAGCACTGGGTGTACAGAAAGCTCAACGAATAGGCACAGGGAGAGAATGAGCCATTGAATATGTTCTAGAACCATAAATATTCTGAAGGTCTCTCAGAATATTCTTGGAAGTGCTTTTGGAATTTCCAAGAGCCTGAGGGTCTCAAAGGTACTTGGTGGACTGGTCATGGGAAGTGAAGACCACAGGGCCCTCCACCAGAAACTCTAAAACAGCCAAGAAGCAATTTCCTAGCTGCTACTTACAGTCCTCTGACAAAGAAACCAAAAGCAGCTGAAGTGCTTGGGAACAAAGGTGCAGCCCATAACTAACTCTGACCCAAAGAAAAATCAGGCAACTGAAATGAATAAACTCACAAAACAAAGGTTTCTAAAGATCAAAATAAAAGAGAGACAGTAGAAATCAGGAAGGCAGTCTGTGGAGATGAAAGGGATCTTAAGATACGACATGTGTACATACAGACTCCCCAACACAAATACAATATTATGAATGCAAACAAATACTAATAAAAAAGAACTCTGAGTAGGTTCCTTATTCTAATAAATGACTACAGATTCAACGGTGGGAAAACACTGCCCTTCAAGGGTGCTTCTATTCAATGCAGAGACGTTAGAATCTGCTTAGTTTCCTTTGAAGATACAGAAGGTCATCTTGTCAAATGTAGGAGGTAATGCCATGTAGGATGAGTTACTTGGTGTCCTGAGAGCAAGACTGCATAGCACAAGCAGCAGTGGTGGCAGCAGTGACAGCCATCTCTGTGCTACTTGGGGGCTAGACAGCCCCAAGGTGCTCCCAGAGGCTTTATGAGACTGTGGTAGTCACTCCTTGCACGTAGTTCAGCAAGCCTGTCTCAACCTACCAGGAAAGAAGCTGGTATACAAGCGGCAACCAGACCCACCTACAAATTCTACCACGTGCCTGACAGCAGCGGGCAGGAGGAAGGCACCTCAGCTGTTTGGCATTCCATGTGGTACATACACTGCTGCTCCTAGAAATGCCACATAGTACACCCTCCTGCATCATTGTCCTGACTTCCACTCCAGAATTCTAGCCAGGGAACCATTACTCCTCCTGGCTGGCATCCTTGAATATGCATGGCCTGATACCAGGCCAGCTAGTTTCACTGCCTCCACTGTTCTATCATTTCAAGATTTCCTGGGGATTGCAGTGAAAAGGGAAAAGAGATGAGACAAACAAAAGATTTCAAACCAAAACAAACACTTGGAGACTCATCTGCTCTACTCTCTTGAAGCTTTTCACATTTCTCTGCCCTGCTTCTTGGGTTAGAAATAGAATATCTCCTAGATATTCTTCTGTCTACATGGTTGTTTACTTCCAAGTTTCATCCTGCACTGAATTCAAGCCAAAAAACCTAAAACAAAAATTCCTGATCATGTGCTAGTTACATCCACTCAGAAAGCTGGTATTCTTACCTATTTGTCTATCGACATCTGCTCTTTAGATGCACCAAGTCTCAGGCTCTCTTTGGATTTTACACTTTTAGATACTGGAAAGCTGGCATGTCTTTACTCCATCTTTACAAGCAGGCAGTCCATGATTAAAAACAAGTTTTTAGGGGCCGGGGAGATGGCTCAGTAGAATAAGCACTTCCCTGGCAAGTGCAAGAGCCTGAGTTCAATCCCCGGTTCCACAAACAAACAAACAAACAAACAAACAAAAAAAAAAAGTTTTTGGGTTTGTTACTATCACTAAGTCTTTACATGTTGCACATGTGTCCCTTACCACATGGTTTCTAAATATTTTCTCTTTGTCTACTGATTATAGATGGTCTTTTCATCATCTACATACTATCTTTTAATGAGCAAAAATTCTGAACCTTAACGAAGTCTAATTTGTCTTTTGTTTTCTTTTATGTTCATTCTTTTGGTCACATAGCTTTTCTGTGCTCTTCCAGAGGACCCTCCCATGTCCTATATCCTTCTCCCTACAGAAGATATATGCAACTACAATCCATTTTGAGTATTTCTGCATATAACGTGAGAAAAGTGGCTTATATTTGCATATGGGTATTTTTCAGCACCAATTTTGACGACTTAATTATAGGATTACTTGTTACTTTTGTTAAAAATTGAACTGACCACATATGTATACATATTATTTCTGGACTCTGTTTTATTCTGTGATCTAGGTGTCTACTTTTTGCTCAATTTTGCACTATTTCAATTAATATAACTTTACAATAAGTTTTTTAATCAGATAATATAAAACCTTCAATTTTGTTCTTTTACTTTCAAAGTTATTTGGCTACTCCAAGTCACCTATGACTTTCTACATTAACTTCAAAAATGGCTTCTTGCTTTATTCAAAAGCTGTCAGGATTTTAAATTCCACATATTTAAATCCACAGGTAACGGGAAGGAAATGTGTCATACCACATTAAGCCTTAAAATATTGAATGCAGCATGTCTTCCCATTTCTGGAGGTCTTTTCAGTATGTATTTCTCTACTCCTCTGTTTTCAGTACCTTTGCCTTTCAGTGTTTCTCCTGTGACGGTGTGCCACTGCATTTTATCCAGCCCAATAATCTCCACCTTTGATTACACACTAAAGTCTACCTTTAATTAACATAAATGTAGAGAAATGACTTATATAAGTCGGCCACTTCTTCAATGTGTACTCTTTTTCATTCGTTGCTATTTCTCTGTTCTCCTTTCAAATTTTATATTGATTACATATATATACATACACACAAACACACACATATTTTTAGTATTCCAATTTAATCTTTCTATTGTCTAGGTTTATCTCTGCTTATATCAGCTGTTCTCTGGAGATTACAGTATCAATCTTAAACTCAACATGGTGAAGTTAATTATGATACTGAATGACTTAAAGTAAAGCACAGGAACACTGACACAGCACAAATCAATTTATCTTTTTATGTTACAGCTGTCATACACAAAAACACAAGCATGTGAATCTATCAGGTCATTAATGCAATGTTACAATTTTCTGATTTACTCTTATCTTACAAAATAATTAAGTTATAATATCATCACTACATATACATCAGGAAAATTACTTCCTTCTAATATCCTGAGCCATGCTTCCCTCTGCCAAACCCACCCCTTTCAACCAACTGCCCCCTACTAGCAGCGATCACTGATTACATAAACTTAATCATGTTACCTGTCACAGACTATTTTAGTGACTTCCCACTAACTGTAGGATAAAACTCCATAGTCCTAAACTGCAGAGTTGCACAGTCTCCTCCCTCGGGTTATGTCTTACATCTCCTTGCTTCACTATCAAACTCATGCTGTAGCCACACCAAACTATAGTTCTCTGAATATTCCAGGCTTTACATATCTTATTTAGTCTTAACAACTTTAGAGTTTAACTTACTCCTCAACATCCAGCTGTTATCACACTTCACTTTGTTCCTAAGGCTCTCTCAGCTTTGCTTGCTTCCCTCACAGTGTACTCTGTATTCCTACAATGCATTCATTAGAGACAGGGTCTACGTCTTATCTTTATATCCGTAGTACCTAACACACATCAGGCATATAGAACAGGCAAAAAGAATAGCTCTTCAAAAACAAATAATGAATATGTACATTTTCAAATTATTTGTTTGTAAATTACTACAAGGAACTAATTCTTATTAATTCTAATCATTTTTCTAAATATACTCAACCATGTAGTTAGCATTTATAATGAGTCAAGTATGAAGGGCCATTAGACTTTAGTAGTAAAAAATAATAAGATGGCATAAATTTACAGTGAATTTACATTGTGATATCCTAGTCATAAAAGGTCAAGTCTTTTCATTAAGACCAAATTTCATTACAGTGTCTTATTTATTACTATTTAAATCTCATAGTACTATGCAACAAATAGAGGAAAATAGGACAACATACCAGAGATACCATGGCCCAACCAGTCTTGTTGTAGATGAATTCCAAGTTGTTCCTTCTTAAGTAGAGCAAACCACCAACAAGTGACACTAACAAGGCCAAAGCAATGGTGCCAGAATAGTTGGGGGGTCTGAAAACCCGAATCTGCAAAAATGCAATGAAAATATTTAAACAGGAAGGAAAAATAAAATTTTCTCTTGAGCATATTCTAGTCCTTCCAATCTTCAACACAAAGAATTCAGAAACATGCCAGGCTACATTTACATATTGCATTAACACTCATGCTTTTTATGAGGTAAAAATATGTAATTTAAAAATACAACAGGTGTGGGCTGGGACGATAGCTCAGCAGTCTGTGCCTGCCTAGCAAGCACAAAGACCCAGGTTCGATCCCTGGTATCACGTGCCATGACTGCCCTGCCACGATGGCCACCAAGGCGGGGCATGATGATGCACACTGTAATCCCAGCACTGAGGAGACTGAGACAAGGATCACTACGAGTCTGAGCTATGTAGCGAGACCCTATAGCAAATTAATTAAATATTAAAAGATGAAAAGAAAAATACAGTCAGTGTGTAAAAGGACTTTCTCCGCATTTTGGATGAGTACACTCCTTTATATGCAAAGTACATACACTGTAACATAACCCGGAGATGCTATGGTCTATCCCTAGATTATCTAGTATATGGTAGCAATGAAATGGGGGTAGATTTGTATAATTCCAACTTCGGTTTTTTAAAAAATTACTAAAATATAACCCACATGCCATACAATTCACCTAAAGTGTACATAATTCACTAGTTTTAGTATGCTCACAAATACTGCAGCCATCACCCGAACTTCCATCTCCAGTCACCCTACCTATTCTCCATAACCTGCAGCCTTAGGTAAGAACTAATCTATTCTGTCTCTGCAGACAGCACTAATTCTAGGCTTCCATATACTGCATGGTTTATTATACCTGGCTTCCCTCACTGAGTATGTTTTCAAGGTATACCCACGTAAGCGCATACATCAGTACTGCACTTCATTCGTTTTTATAAGTGGATAACATTGCTCAGTATGGCTATACCACATTTTATTTCTCCATTCATTATTTGACAGACAGGAGTTGTTTCCACCATACAGCTACCATGCATAATGCTACTATAAACATTCTTAAGTTTCTCCTGGGGACATATGTTTTCATTTTTCTTCCATGGAAACGGAGGAGTGGAATTATGACAGGTCGTATGGAAACCTCCATTCTTAACAATTTGAGGAAGCACCAAGCTGTTACCATAGTGGCTTTACTGTCTGATATCTCCTCAACCATATATGAGACTTCCAACTTTTCCACTTCCTTACCAATGCTTATTACCTGACACTGTTTGTAGCTATCTTATTGGGTGGGAAGTAGTATCTTCTTATTGTTTAATGCGTTTTTTCCCAGGTGACTGACAATGTTAAGCAGATGTTTAGTGGCTATTTCTATACTTTCCTCACAGAAATGTTTATTCTGATCTTGTGTCCATATTAAATTTGGTTTTGTTTTCTTACAATTAAAAAAAAAACCTCATACCTAAGTAGGTAAAAAGCTCCTCAGAAAAATGACCTACTAATGCTTTCCCCCAATGGCTACCTATTCACTTTCTTGATGTTATCCTTTAAGCCATTAAGCCTCTTCTTTAAAAATAAAAACAACTGGAGTAATTAATTACTAACTTCAATAGTACATACAGCTCTGGGTTCTAATAGCATTACTTACTTAAAGGAACTAGGGTCACAGGAAGAAATGACGGAGTGCTGGGTAGAACAGCTGTACAGAGAGATACAGTAAGAGCTTGGGACAAATTTTTATGTTGGAATATCAGAAAGCACTTAAAATATAAAGATGAAAGTACAGATACCAGCATGAAGTGACTCCCATTAATCAAACCTAGAATAATTTTAGTAACAAACTTAGAATAGCAATAGATTACAAATGACAAGGATATGAATTATGCATTATGTGTTGTTCTGTGATATGATCTTAGTCAGGAATAACAGAAATTCAGGGAAAAAACTAAGTGATTACAGTCATAGGTCCTATAAGCAAAAGACTATATAGCATGCAGGACCACATAAGAAAGGCAACAGAGCAGCCAAGGAGCAGAAGACAGGAGCCAGAGGGAGCCAGAGGGAGGTTAGGGCACTGCTTTGTTGGAATTTCTTTGAGAAAGACAGGGTGGGGTGAACAAACAGTTTAAGATTAATTAGTTTGGATAATTTTGATGGAATTTGTCTCCTCACACTATTCTCTAATTGGCCTGGCCCTGAGATGATTAAAGCAGAAGGGCACCATTCCAACACACAACGGAAGGAAAGGGAAACACTTTGATCTCACAATCAAAATTATTTTTACAAAGGAAAGAGAAATAAGTATCTTGCGTTTATACAGGTGCTTAAAGTAAACATGACCTATTTAGCATTCTACTTGAGAACAAATAAACAGAATCCAATCGTAAGTAAACATCAGGCAAATCAATTAAGAATCATTTTATTTAAAAAGTAGGATAGGGTTATGTTCTTGCAAGTGTCAACATCTTAAAAGGACACAAGCAATAGGAATATCCCAGGTTAAAAGACATGACATGTAAGTGAATTAACTGACTCTTAGACTTCATCTAGAAAGACAGAAAAATGTTATAAAGGGATGCTAGCTCGGCTGACAAAACTCTACCATGGATAGTAACACCTCAAATAAGCTACTATACAAGTATAAATATATGGGATTCATATATACTTCTGTGAATTATCATTCAGAAAAATTATTTTTTAAGAAAAAAAAAACCCTGTATATAGATGGAGAAAGACACAGGGATGGGACAGAGGCTAAGAATCTCAAAGCTCATGTAGTAAAATATTAACAATGGGTAAGCCTAAGTAAGGATATATGTTGATATAATCTGAACTATTTTCATTTTTTGAAATTTTAAAGTTGAAATTTATTAATTATTATTATTTTTTAGTATGTTTGGTTGTTACATGGTCTCACTACGCAGCTTGGACTTGTGATCCTCCTGTTTTCAGCCTCCCCAGAGCTGGGATTACAGATGTGCACCACTATGCTGGGAATTTAGCTGGCTCAGCATGCCCTGGGGGCAGGGCTGCACACCATGTGGTACCAGGGATCAGGGATTGAACTGCAGTTCCTGCGCTTGCCTAAGTATGCCTAAGCTTGCCTACGCAGGTGCTTCAGTCCACTGAGCTACCTTGCTGGACCCTAAACTTGAAATTATTTCCAAACAGCTGTTTTAGATTTTAAATTTACTGGCAAGATACATGAATGTAGGTAGAAAGGTTAAAATAATTTCTCTTTAAAATTTACTACTAGGCCAGGGAGATGGATCAGTGGTCTAAGCACCTGCCTGGCAAGCACAAGAACCCAGGTTTGATCCCTGGTACCACATTTCATGCTGGCCCCACCCTGAGCTGGCTACCAAAACCAGGCATGGTGGCACACGCCTGTAATCCCAGTGCTGAGGAGGCTGAGACAGGAGGATTACTATGAGTCTAGGCTGGGTAGCGAGACTCTCTACCAAATAAATAAATAAATAATTTTTTTTAAAAAATCAGTATTTCTTATAAAGAATTATTAGTACTCTCAATACTACTCATAATGCACCAATAATGACACAATGCATAATAAATGATTTGTTGAAATATTTAAGAAATGAAAATTATGAAGTTTAGTCACTAAAATACATGACACAGGCCATTATATGATATAAGTGAATGAAGATACAACCTCTCTTACTGAGAATATATTTCCCTGCCCTTTCTGGTAAAAGTTAATGTTTCTCTACTACTGCCAGATAGGTGGATTTTTAAATAACTGGCTGCTTACTTTAGAAAACAATGGAAATAAGGAAAGGAAAAATTGCTATAAGCTGTTCATGTGAATATTACCATCAACATTGAGGTTTATTTCCTGTCATAATAAATGGTTTATTTCAATAAATACTGATATTCATGTTTTAAAGCAAAATTGTAGATAATATAGTAAAATAACACAGTATGAAATATACTATAATGATGTTATACTATATTATTAAAATAGGTGTTCTAATATTATTTTTCTAAAACCCTACTTTCTAACTTTGAACATCATTCTATGAGAAATATTCCTACAAATCACTTTCTGGATAGGCCAGAAAATGTATAATTATTAAGTCTCTTTACACATTCAATTTTTTTCCATTAAAATGAACAGTGCTCAAAAAATATCTACAGCTAAGAATTTGAATCATTCTTGATTACATTCTTTACTTTCCACTCCACACAGAATTTGGAACCAGCGAAGTGGAGTTGTTACTGTGACTATTATCTGACCATGTTGTTCAGGAGGCTTTGGGAATGGATTGAGGGAAGAAGTTAGAAAGGTTTGGAAGGGCCAACTGAAAAACTAGCAGTGGAATGCCTAAAGCTGTTCTATATGGGAGACTCTGGCCAGAATTCAGAAGATCAAAAACCTGATTAGAAAAAAAAAATCAGGCTGAGATTTCTGCTGGGAAGTAGGATTGCATTACTTACTGGACCCTAGGTGATGTGTACTATGCACCAGCATAAAGTCTGTGTCCAGAGACTTTGAGTGAGATGGAGATTAAGACAAAAGACTAAATTGACTTGGCAGAAAAAATTTCAAGGTAGTCTAATATTCAGGTAGTAGCATGACTACTACTGGGGACTTTCAGCCTGATTTATGTTGAGAATCAAGAGCAAAAATCCCTTCATAATGATTTAAAACATTTTGATTTTTGGCCAGAAAGAAAGCAGAGCTGTGATAAAACATAGGAGATCTTGATTGCTGAGAAGGAACAGGAGAACAGACAAGATGACCTGAGGACTTCACAAAAATCAGCAGGACTGTAACCCATGCAGACTCAAAATTGTAAAAGTGAAAGACTTTGCTTTAAGAAAGCCCCAGAGAACCATGTTCCAAAATTGTGGAGGCCTATAGAATTTGTTCCTTGGAAGTGAACCCAAAGTGCCAGTGTTCCAGGCAATCGATCCATACAGCCAAGAGGGAGGGAAGCCTGACTACAGGTGTACCTGGCAGCAGACCTTGGCATCATCCACGTGGTGCTCCTTTTAGGTCATGCAGACTGGAAGAGGTGTGGAA